CTTTCAAGTATTTGTCTTGTAAGAATGATCATACATGCTCTCTGTATTTTGTAGTCTTATAAGAATGATCACACGTATTGTGTGTACTTCTGCACTAAGGGCCAAGGGAGATATGGGTGCCATCAGTCAAAGTCTCTTTCATGTTACTAACGTTTTACAAACTTCTGAAGTTTTGCTGTGTTTGCTCCGAAGTATCCTAGTGGAACATGACCATTTTATCTGAAAGCACAAGAAAGCACCAACCTCGATGCGCAGATCAGTACTTGGTGTTGATCAAATAAAATCATATCATTAGGTTAGTTCAATAAATTAGGTCAGATATTTAGGGCTAAATCTGTTTGAGATTTGGGGTTTTGTTAAGGCAACACCATCCTCGATGCGCAGATCAGTACTTGGCTGATTAAAGGTTTTTTGGAAACGTTGGAGTTTCGCTTGGTACATATTTTTTGGGAAGCAAATGAAGTAGCTGATAGACTTGCTGGGCAGGCTGTTATGGGTAGAAATTCTGTGGATTATTCGGTGGGTTTGCAGCCGCCTTGTGAGGTTTCTTTGGCTCTTCGTTCTGATCAGGGACTTCCTGTTTTGCGCAAGAGGAAGAGAGTTGTTTTTGATGATAAGGGCTAAGGCAGACTGCGTGGTCCTTATGGAGTTTTTGCCTTCAATGTTTAAGTGTTGATTTATTTGAAAATTGGAGAAGGGAAAACCTACTGACTTGAAGGCTTTTGTCTGTTGAAGTTTTTTTGGAGGATGCTGCTGAAGCCTTTTGGTTGGAAGTTTTTGGACTTTTGTGTTTGTCTTGTTATGGAAAGGCGTCTGTGCCTTAACCTTTGCTTCTTGTAAATGGTTTGGCATTTGTGAATAAATAAAAATTTTTTTTTGTTAAAAAAAAAATTCCACATGAAGCAAACATGCCCATATTCATTTTGGGTTAAAGTCTTGTTAAGGCAGGATCAGTCTGCCTTTGATTCCATTGTAAATAATTTTTAAGTAATAAAATAAAGGGTTGATTTGTTTGAAAAAAAAAATATTTGTAGAAACTTACACATGAGTGATGAAGAAATCCATAGTAGTTACCTCCAAGCTTACACTTGCGGCTTTAGATCATTGGTATTCCATGGTTATCTTTTCGTTTTTGTGAATTTATGTAAATATTTGATAAATTATCACTAAAAATGTATCATGGGATAACCATTGACGTTTTTAACAAAATACATGCAAACACACACATATATATTTGATTATGAAGGGTATATTTGTAATTATGATACAAATAATATTTTTTTAATTGACCATCCAAACACAATAAAATCATTTTTATTTAAGTATTTTTTTTTGAGCATCCAAACTATGTTTATGGGAGAAAGTATTTTTAGTAAAGTGTTTTTTTAAAAATAATTATTTAAGAAGTTCTTGTAAATTCAATAAATCATCCCAAACACACTTTGACTCTATTTCTCTACACCATGACGCCCAAAAAGCATAAATAATTTTTTTTTTTAAAAGTAACGGTAAAAAATAATGGTCAACTCTAGAGTCCATACTTTATATCTTTCTTCACACTTTTTAGTATTTTTCTTCCAACCATTCCTTCTTTATCTTTAACTTTTACTTTTACTTTCACATTAAAAAAAAAATTAAACTTATTGATAAAATCTTATTGAAGTTCGAATAAGTCAAAAGAAAGATTAAGGAATTATTTATATAATCTATTGAAAAAGATATGACAAAAAAGTTTGAATATAAAAACTCAATTAATACTTGTGTAGCTCAAAAAGGGAGCACAATAAATTTTAAATAAAATATTAATATTAAAAACAAGAAAAAAAAATCACTTTTTCAAATTATAGCTTTAGGCCCTAAAATGTCACTGGCCACCCCTAGTCGTACAGCCATTTCAAATATTACAAGTTTTTTTTTATAACTTTCGAAGATCATTTACAATTTTTATGGTAATCAGCAATCAATAATAAAAATGTTAGATTTGATTCTAATATTTTTTGGATTTATTGCAAACTATCACAAAAGTGATAATTTGGCCCAAAAATTTTTTGACTCAAACCTTAAAAGTTATAACATGAGGTAGAGTTATAAATTTTTTATTTTATAAACCAACTCAAAAAAATTATATCAAAGTTCACAAAAATTATAAAATTTGGAGGTATGATATCAAATACTTTTTTTTTTTTGGAATGTACATAAGAGTTGGAAAGGAGAGAGATGAATAAAGTAGCAACATATATGTCACTTGTAAATTTTTATTCTCGAAAATCACGCCGTTATTGGACTTTAGCTATTTATGAAGGAAAAAAAATTCTACGGCACCAAAAATTTTATGCTCAAGGCAAGGGATGGAGAGAATAAAATAGTTTTCGTTAACTATTTATGATAGAAAAATTCTATTTAGATTTAATTTGAGAACATAATTTAATATAATTATTGAATTGATAGTGGACTCTATTTAATATTGGCACTTACAACTAATTTAATAGCTGCATTGAATTAGGTCCCTATAACATTGTTATTTACGATAAATGTACATTTTTTAAAGAAGAAGTTATAATTATTCAAGAAAAATGTATGGTTACCTAATTTACGATTATTATAAAGGTGCATCAACCTACACAATCGATCATGCTCTTTACAAGTTGTAATTTTTATTTTAAAAAATTATAATTTAGGGATCAATGGTTAATTGGATGTACACACCACGTGTAATGGCTCAAGTGGTGTGTTATAACAAAATGATAAATATTTTAAATGATGAATTGTATTTTATATCTTGAAAGATTTTAAAATTCTCATATTGCACCATAAATATATCAAAAATGCTTTAATGTAACCTTTTGTTAGCTTTCGTTATTTTTTTGATTAATGCTCTCCATTCCTTGCCTTGAAGCATTGACAGCACTATAATATTAATGTATTATAAAACATATAAATTTTAATGGCTGAACATTGCAATGCAATAATGTCGCAGAGTGCAATTAGTCATTGCATTTATAGCCTTACATTTTTAGCCCTTGGATTTCTATTGCTTTCCTTTTTCGGTTATTGCACTCTATGACTTGGCCTGGTTTTGAGCATTTCCTCAAAAGAATAAAGATGGTTAACTCTTATGTTCTATTTGATACAATAAAAAAATAGAAAGATGAAAAGTTGAAGAGATAAATAAAACATCACGTTTGGTAAAGAAGGAAAGTAGGAAAGATAGAAAAGTGGATGAATTAACTTTCCTTCCAACTCACCAAAATTAATCCCTCCAAAACGGAAAGAAAGTGAATGAAAACTTAATTATTTGTGTTGAGATGTATCTTATTTGTTTATATATTATGTATACATTAATTTCATATAAAAATAAAATAATATATATATATATATATATTAAAAATTTTAAAAATAAATTTAAAATTTGAAATTAAAAAAATATATTTTTTTCATCTTAACTGTGAAAATTTTCGACTCAACACGATGATACAACTTGAATTCGATACGAAAATAAACAGGTCAACTCGCAACTCGACATGACACAATTAGTTAAATGAGTTAAATTAGGTTTGACTAATAGCCGACAAAAACCTGTAATAACTCAACACAAATCTGACACGACACGACTCGATTGTCACTCTTAATTTTAGCCGGTACAAAAAAAAATAGTCATTTTTATTTTTCATTCATCCAACCAAACACAAAGGAAAGAAAATATATTCTTCTCATTTTTCATCCTTGAAGGATAGAAAGTATATTCCTCGTACTTTTCATCCTCTCTGTTAAATGAAACATTAAAAAATAAAAAAAAAATTGTACATAAAAATTTTGAGTTATCAAAAAGACAAGTTCAACCAGTTGACCACCCAAAAGGGTTGTTGGTGAATTAATTGAATTTCAAACCAAGTAAGCGGAAGACTATATATAGACCAAATGTCACCCTCATGGAAAATACTATTACTACTTTTGGCAAATATTTATTATTATAGAAGTTAAATTCTCAATTTATAAAACACAACAATAGTTGAGATTAATTTAATCTTTATCTATTTTGATCCAATAATATAAAATTTATTCCAAATTTTTTTTTTCCCACTTAAAAATATCATCTCTATGCATGACCCCCAATTTTAGACAAATCTATTAACACATCAACACACTTTTCAATACCAAACAATTTCATCAAATCATACTTAGCTATCTTATTTCTCCCTTCATTTTAATCTTAGATTTCGTAAATAAATAAAAAAATACTATTTAAAATATAAATATTAAAAAATCAATATTCAATTTTTAATATTAAGTACTATCTTCCAGCACAAAATTATCACTACTACACATATAAAGCTTGTGATTTTTCACATATTGAAGGTTGTAAGTACTACGAAATGACTATAGGTTGAAAGGTTGTGCTGTTTGGTTTATCTTTAATATTATATAAGTTTTTAAATCACATAACAGTCTACCTTTATTTATGAAGCATTCTTGGCACCCTTCACCAAACAATGCAAGACTGAGACAAGAGACCTGGCACCTCACCATACCAGTTTTCTCCATTTGGAGCAGCAAGGTTTTGGAGTTCGTCTGAGTTACTAATTACGACATCTATAGAAAATAGACATGGTTAAAAAAAAAAATAGAGCCACCCCAAATTCGAGATGCAACGGCAATTTTTGCCTTAATTTGATGTGCTAATGCTGGATATCGCCATTGAACTTTCTTTTTTTACTAGACAATAGGTTTTTAAACTCCTATCATACTTTTACAACATCCTATATAGTCAAAAAGTTAGGAGGATATTACAAAGACCACAGCAGGAATTCCAAAATTCACCAGCATCGCAACAAAAAAAAAGACAGGTATACCTAGAAAAATAAAATAATAAAACAACCATTAGACCGCCTGCGGTATGATTATACTTCAATTAATCATATTGTTACTTGATGCTCCAAATCGCTGCATATGAGATGCTTGAAATTGCTGGAGTGGTAATGCACGGTAGAATGCTCTCTGGATTAATCCATCTGGCCAGTTAATGCGGCATCTTCATCTTCTGCGTCAAGTTCCTGCTCCACACCTTTAACCTGCAAAAACAGCAGGGTTTTGTAAAGAAAACCAATCAAAAACAGAGTTTCTCTTGATAAATAACAAACTCTAAACAAAACCAAGGATTATATTTGGACAATGAACCAAATGACCACCAATCTTTCTCACCAGAATGTCAGGAACAGGCATATTCATCAGCTTAAAGTTCTTTCCCAGTAAAGCTCACAACTGTGTTTTGAAATTTTTTACTTGGAAATTATTGGTTCTCTTACCTTATTTTAAAAGGCGAGGGAGAACATGATATGGCTTTATCTAAACTATGATCCTAGAAAATACAGAATAATAGACCCAGGTTCTTGTAGGCCAGATACATGAGACAAGGTGTCACATCCTAATTGACTTGGGACAAGGAAAGGTGCAGTTCAGTGAAGCTTGCAAGTTGTATTGTTGTTTTATTTCTTCATTCCTGATGCAAGCTAAAGGCCTAGCAGCACAAGCAAAGGCGCCCTAGAGAGATGACTGCAACCTCATACATCAACATTTCTGATATAGGGACTATCATCCAATAAAGACTTGGAAGATCTATACACAAAACCACCAAAAAAAAAGGAGAGAGAGAGAGAGAGAGATCACTTTATACAAAATTTGGGCAATATGCAATGCAAAAGGTAAAGCACAAATTGAACCTCCAGGTTGACGATAGGAAGGCTATTGTTATGCAGGGGTGACTCAAGGTAAATTTGAAGCTTAAAGTGAAACCACTAATTGAGGCCTTTTTATTTTTAATATTAATTTTAAAAAAAAAAATTAATTAATTTTAATTTTTTATGTGAAAGAGACAGAATAAAGATATGTTAGTGTCGAAAGATGTTTTAACTTTTGCATTTATTTTTTACTGGAGAGAGTGTTTAATTTCAACTTTTGTTTTTGTTTTTTACTTTTTTTTACCGAGAGAGAGAGAGAGAGAGAATGGATAAATATGAGTTGACTTTTGAGTATTTTTTTTTTTAACTTCTAATTTTTAGGTTTTTAATGCTATGGATTGGATTATGTGCTCAAATTATTGTAATAAAAATTTTGATTGAAGCTAATTTTTTTGGTCTTTTTTTTAGGGCTTAAATTTTTTTGGATTTATATTTTTTTCTGGGCTAGTAATGTATCTAAAATAATGGGGCCTTCTAAAAATTTGGAGCCTAAAGCCTAGGCTTTGTTCAACATTACAAGATTATTCTTCTGAATATAGTTAGACACATTTACCAATTTGCTGTAGCCGAGGTCAATAAAATATTCTCGGAATCAACAGTCATCCCAAACTACATAAAAATAATGGCTACATGCTGAACGCAATTTATATAGCACTAAGTGCCAACATATGATGACAGAAAAAGAAATTTGAAGATCCAAATCAAATGGCTGTTACCTCTGGCACATAATGCATCAGCATGTTTTCAATGCCAGACTTCAGTGTGACGGATGAGCTAGGGCAGCCACTACATGCTCCTTGCATTCTTAATTTGACTATCCCACTTTCGCTTAGGATGAAGAAGAGAAATTTAGTTTACTTAAGTTAAAACATATATCCCATTCTATCCCCACCACTAACTAACATATGCAATTGGAGGGACAAAAAAACATACAGATCAAATCCTCGATACTCGATGTCTCCACCATCATCTTGCACAGCAGGTCTAATACGAGTCTCCAACAGTTCTTTGATCATTGCAACAGTTTCTGAATCATCCTGAAACAGCAAGCGTGAGCAATGAACCAACCTTTTGGACCTACTAACCACAAAAGAAATCATTAAAATATTTGAAATTAAATTTTTTAAGACAACAGTACAGATTGTTATATCTCTGGTTATTCTTTGGAGTGTTTATCCATTTTTGCAGGCTCCAGTTAACTTCTGGCAAAAGAGTTTAAAACAGAACTGGAGCATGCAAAAAATATGGGTATCAACCTTCAAGGCATTTGACATAGTCACCATCAAAATAATTGACATAATATAAAATAAAGGGATCGGAAAGCTGAACCAATACCGTTGGCAGAGTAAGCGGGAAAATAGCCTCACTCAAGAGGAGCATGCAATGCGCAACTCTTGGCATAGCTTCATAATTTTCTTAGTATCTTTTGCAAGCATTACATAGAGGTTATTCATCACTGTTAAGAACAGAGTGCATTGAGTAGACTAAAAAGTTACCCCCTCAAGTCTTTTGTTTAAGTTAGCATGACTCCAATCCTACCATTATTGAGAGACTATCCTTTCCAAGTGATTCTTAGAGGAACTCAAAGTTCTAATTCTATGAACAAATCTGCAGCCATTCCAAAAAGCAAGAGGCAGAGATGATACTGTCCCCTCCCATGGTCTGAGGCTAAAGGCACGAGTATCATGACTTTCCTTCAACTTATCGGAAGGTGAATCCTAGAGGTCATATTTGGTATAACATCAACTACTCGAGGCATCCATAAGTGTTGGACATGTCAACCTCGATGATTGAAAAACTTAAGCGCCACATGGTCTTCAAGACCCTCAAAGGCCCACAATGACAGGTGAGACTAGAGCAGTCATCATTTCAAATGACAATATGAAAAACTTCTGTGCAACAGTCGTCCACAAACAACTGTCTCCCTGATTTTACCTTCCACGGGACCCCTTGCCAATTGCAGCAACCTTCATGCATTTCATACAATGCTTGTACCTCGCAGTACATTTTTATAGTTATTCCTATCATGTATTATAGGAACCGTCCTAATTGTAAGTGATAATAAGATGTGTAGTACATGGCGTGTTGTGCATTGAAGGGATGTTTCAGGACGGAGAAGCAAGTGTCAACAAGTCAACTCTCGAATCACTACCGTGTCTTGGAAACTAAGTCCAGAACAAAGTGTCAACAAATTTTTCGGAAAAATCCATACAAAACAATAAAGGCAAAACATAAAAGACCAAAGGTTCAAAACAATACTTCATGTATGGCTGTGTCCATGGCAGCTGCAGCATTTGAGTCCATAAACAGTGGCTTCCCCGAACTATAGAAGTCCATGATTGCTGCAAATATCTCTGGTTTAAGAAGATCCCAAGATGCATCATCTGATTTTGTGACAGTCACAAAGTCTGATCCAAAAAACACCCGAGTAATTCCTGCATGAGCATAACATTAAGTTAGTCTAACTTATCACTTTACCACCCAAACATTATTTGTAAGAAAAGGCATGAAAATAAGTTTTAAAAAAACAGGTTACATGACTGAACATTATGAAACTGAAATGATAAGGACAAGCAACACAAATAGATAAAATTATGACGGCATGGAACATAAAAGTTAGAAGCAATCCAAAAATGGTAACGACCAGTTGCCACAAATTTGCAGTGCAACTTACCAAACAAAAACTTGGACTGTGGTTAAAAGTATGCACGTGGGACCCAGGACTAGGGGCCAAAGGTCTGGTATAAATAATCTACTAGTGGATCCACTCCTTATCCATGAATCGGAAAGGAAGAAATCTAGATCTCCCAAAGCATAAGTCCATGTCTTGTAATTGGAAAATCATGTATCCAAAACTTGAGCTATGCTATAATATTTCTTTTTGAGCCTTGGTAATCTATTGTTTAAGGTTCTAAGTCAATGACCCCCTTCTAAATCTCATTTGCATTTACCACATATAATTTAAACATATATTCATTAACAAACCAAATATCAGCATAATTAAAGGCAGTGAAATTTTTATTTAAAAACAGAAGGAGGAGGTCAACATAATATTCACTCAACTTGTGATTTAAGATTCATGACAATGATAATGTGTTTCTATGTATGTAAAACAAAAAAAAAAAAAAACAATTCCACAATCAACCTCCACATTCAATTTGTTGCCCTCTTATAATATTTCTACCTCTCTTTTGTGTCCGCTTATGGATGCCAAACCTTTTACATTAACAATCAAGCATATTATACAAGCGGCGCCCGTACGGCATTTTCAATCTCTTCCATCACAATCCTACTGCCACTCCCACCCTCTATTGCCACCTCTCATCGCACCCCAACCCCCACCTCGACCCTAATATTATTGAAGAGTTACCAATTACTGTGCTGAATTAAGTATGATGAAAAAGTCAAATTTGAAGTAATTTTGTGGGAGTAGTTATGTAAGCCACACAAAATGATTTAGTTAGATGAGATTAATGCATTGTTACTGAATAATTCAAAATTTAAAAAATCTAATACTTGATTAGGGAAGGTTTCATAAGTGCTCTCTCTCTTAAATTGATTGTTATAGTATGTAAAAAATATAGATTTAGAGGAGCGAGAGACACACACAGAAAGGGGAAAAATGGTGGAAGAAAAACTTGAGGCAGTTGAGAAATTTTATGAGTTATCCTATTAATGAGACATTAAAGTTATTCAAAAACTAAAGCCAAGTCAAATTTAACAATTTAAAAAATGAAAAATCCAAGAAAATTGGGATGGAGTTTTGATGTTCATCCAGCACCAATACATTGCTATATATATAATATATGCAGATGCTATTCACAAACATTAACAGAATGTATAAGCTAAAGCACACAAGTTTAACATGTTAGGTCTTCGTATTGTATCTATGGAACATAAAGTGCTATCAACTATTAAGCAATGGGATTTGCTTGCAGTAATATCAAGATGGACATAAATTCTCAGTTCAATGAATAGTCATATTATATATACGCTCGAGAGATGTTCATCAACAACATACTCAATAAAACCTCATTCCAGATATTCAAGGTCCGACGTTAGCTATATGAATCTGATTTTCTCCATACTCTAGCTGTGGCATATTCGTTCAATAACGCCTCTTTTATAGTTGAAGTCAACCACAAATATTTTCCTCCATGTTTAACTTCATAAAATAAGTTATAATACAAAACTTTCACATGAGTTTTGAACCCTTAACATAAAGTCAATAATCAAATAATAACCCATAAAGAAGATGTTTGATCATGCCTAAACTTAATCTAAAAGTTAACAAGCTAATTCCCTTGGACATCATCAATCTTTAAGCATATACAAGTTGATTAAAAATTATAGACTTACATAACAATAACAAGATGACCTATTTGTCTGATTATGGTAACTATTAGTCCAAAGAAGTCCCTCTAGTTCTCCAAGAATAAAAAACAAGAACCAGGATGCTAATGCATTTTGTTTTTAAAATATGAAAAATCCTTCAACTCTAGACCACTCTGCTAATAGATTCATATGTCCAAATCTTCTTACTTATTGGAAGAGTAAAAAGAAAGGGAAGACACAACACTCAAAGCTTGTCATTGTCGCATTTAAAACTCCAGCTAATTCTCCTACAAGACTAATACCTGTAGGCAACGCATTATGATGATTGATGATCAAAGATCTTCAATTTGGAACGTTTAGCAAGTATGTCTATTTGTGCATAAATAACACACAAGTAGTTTAAATCTAATGAAATGGCGAGACCTGTGCTCTCCTAGCTCTGTCCCTCACTCTCCTTCTTTATGTCACATATATACACATATATATAGACATATGTCCAACTCAAACCCAAATTTCTCAACATAAGTTGAAGTTTCTACTTTTTCTCCTTTCTCTCCATATCTCTCTAATTTATGATCTATTGGAAAAGGAAGGGACACCACCCCTTGATTAGGGATTCTTGCCAAAAGTAATGTTAAGTGCTTCCTAGTCTTTTCCTTCCATCTTTCGTTCCTACTCAGCCAAACAGAAAAAACAGTGGAACTACTTCCTTTCCCTTAAGATACCTGTTCTGTGCTCCATTTCCCTCTTTCTAAACTTCCATTTTTTATTTCAACTAGAACACCACCATCTTTCATGCACAAAATAGTGGTATGTGTCTTCCAATATTTAGAACCCACCTCAATTAACATCAATTTTGAACAAGAGCAACATAGGACATCAGATTTGGGATTTAAGCATGAGATCTTGTAATGTGATAGAAGCATGCCTAATGTTTATTCTTCATGTGTGTTGTCTGCAGTTATTGCCAGATTAATGTTGGCATACTAGTCTATCGATACAAGTTTATTTAAAGATAACCAAAAAACCCAAATGCACTGATAAATTTCCAGATCACCAAAATCCTACAAAAGGAAATCTGCAATACCTCGTATCAAATTCACACTGAAACAACTGGAGCTAACAGCATTCAGATTTTTTTTTTTTTTTTTAAAAACAAAAGCATAAATAAGCTGCCATAGAATTTGGAGGAAAAAAAGTTCTCACCATCAATTCCATAGACAGCCTTAGCCAGTGGCGAATTCATGGCCGAACGAGCATTTGGAAAGTCTGCACTCCCAACTTCCATAACTGGCTTCCCAGGATAGAACATGAGTGACAAAGGATTAGGAGTGGACTGCGTTTGGATAAACATTGTCCTCCTCTGCCCTGTCCAAAACCAATGTCAGAATAACACCACACAATAATAACTTACACATATATGGAGAGAGACTAATTGAAAAACATAGGAACCTCCGAAAGGGCCCCATTTTGAGGGCTGTGAAGAAGGGATGCGTGACAAATTCGATTTCAATGATTTGAAATCAGAGTAAGCTTTGGATTCTATTGAAGAAGCGAATAAGAGACGACGACATGTATAAGGGGCACTGGGTTCCAATCTGCTTAATCTTTTGCAGAGAAGATGTCGCCCAATCAATCTTCCAAAACTCTTCATGCCCAATTATAATCTGCTCGGTTCTAGTCTTCCTCTACAGGCAGCTCTCTTGTAAAAACCCTCACGATTGCTATTTCTCCGTAACAGAAAGTAATGGATAACTATTGAAGTCGAAGTCACCAGCGTCTTGGCAGTTGGTAATTTGTACCCCGCGTAAGGGTTTCTATCTGCGTAGCGAGATGGTTAATCAATTCTAAATGGATTGGATCCAGAAGCAGTTTTGCTTCCAATACTGGCAAATGACTGGGGACGGCAGTGGACAGGTGGAAAAGTAAAATTTGTCCGAATGTATTTTGTTTTAACCAGTGAACTAAATATATTAAACGTTGGACGAATACGAAAATGTCTATATAAATTTGTATGGGATGAACACGGGGATGAATTTATCCTTATCCCTACTCCGCCCCCCCGCCCCGTTACTCATTTTATATATATATAAATAAAAATACTCTCAAATCCTAACTAAATATATTTACTGTAATTACATATGGTAATTAAACTAACAAGTAGCATTGTTATGTGATAATTTTATCAATTTTTTTCCTTGATTGTTCTTTTTTTCTATTTGTGTTCACTTATTGAAACTATTAAGAGTTTGGATTGACCATGATCTAAACACATATAAGAGAGAGTAAAATAGTTTTGCATTTCATCGTGGGTAGAAATAATGTTAATGGAGGTTGATGAGTTTTTTTGTTAGAGTGAACTAAGAAATTGAGAGAATTATTGAATTAGCGAAAATTTTAATTTTTAATTTTTTAACATTTTATGGTTGTAATATTAATTGTAATAACAAAAATTCTTCTACGAAACTTCAAGTACAGTGTTATCGTTTTCTTAGTTTAATTTTATGTTCCTTTTCTTCATTTCTCTCTAATAGTTTCATTTCTCTTTTTGTAGTCCAATGACACTTTAAATATAATACTATATTATTTTGTCTTTTACATTTTGCAATCTACATTATATTGTGTTAGATTATATTAGATTATTTAGAATGTTGTTGGATTATTTAAAATATTGAATTTATTTTAAATTTTGGATTATGTTATTTGGGTTTGGGCTTAGGCTTAGGCTTAGGCTTGGGCGGGTACGGGAGAAGCGGGGATGGGGACAAGGATTAGAAATTTACCCGCGGACGGGAATGAGAATGAAAACTATATTCGTCAACAGGGGTGGACAAAATTTTTTTAAGCCGGTACGGGGATGAAGACTACACTCTCCCCCCCCCCCCCCGGTCCACTGGCATCTCTACAAATGACACTTTCAAGCAACCTTAATTATGGACTCTATTTTCCTTTACTCCTTATACTATTGAATTTTTAATATTATCCCCTCAACTAATTAAATTATTTCATATTATCTCAAAAAAAAATGTCATCTATTTTTTTGGACTGAAATTGGTGATGTATTGAGGCAAATTAAAAAATTTACATAGTTCAAAGGTAAAATAACATAATTTTTCATCAAATTTGTAAACAGATGCTAACAATTGACTCTCTTAATTATGATTTGTTAGATATACATTTGTAATTGGTTAATTTTGTGGAGTCTATTATAAATCTCACCTTATTCTATGGTCATGATGCCATCAAGATTGAATATTTGAAAACATCATTGAAGGGAGAAGATCAAGCGTCAAAACTACATCATTCATAGTCTAGTTGCACCTTTAAGACAAATGTAATGACCTAGATACCTAAGATGATCTCTTGGTTTACTTAACTTAGGAGGATTAGAGTTACAATAGAATTAAAGGTAAGAAGAAAAAAAATAAATTGTTTGGTGTTATGAAAATATAGCTCTTGACAACACTCGAGTGGTCTGTGTCTCCCAGACAGGTTTGAAACGCGATTTTCATTCTAGTGACAACTATTCTCCCATCAATCAAGCTGTCATTTGCAAATTTGAGTTTTCTTATTGATCAAGATTACTCTTATTCTGGACCTATACATATAGAGAGTCTTTTCTTCAACTAAAGTAAGCCTCTAACAAGCCTTTTGAGTGCAAAAACTCATCTTCTACTTGAAGAGCCTCCACCACAAACCCTAGATCCCGAAGATCCAAAGCTACCACTAGAGATTTTACCCAACCTCACAAATTGAAGATGAAGATTTTAATGGTTTTGACAAACTCATTAGTGTGTGCATATTAAAAATCATTGGCATGCCCAAAATTACTCGAGGTCTAGATGAACCGAGAGACGGGGACTCCCAGTGAAATTATGCAAGAAGTCGAAGAAGGGCTTTTAGGGGAGAGACAATAATGAAAGGAACATCTAATCATAGTATTGGTTGAGGTGTAAGACTCGAATAATTGTATGTTAACAGTGTGAGTAGTGGATTAGGTATTGGTGAACCGAAAAGTTTCCTGCAATTTTTTTAAGAGGGTTTCTGCGTCAACAAATCACATGTCTTAATCTTGCATATTTACATATGCACTTGCTAGGTCCAGTTGGGTCATTCCACTGGCACAACTGGTGTCCAGCTTCCCCTACCATTGTCATTACTAGTACCTGACACTGTCAACTTGACATTTTTGCAAACACCGACCCTTACTTTAAAGTCAGGAGAAAACAAATTTCGTTCTTTAATTCGAAGATATATGCCCTATATAGGGAGTTTTTCTCTCCTCTGTGCATCTAACTCCTCAAAAATTATGTGGAGTTCCACAAAATTGTTCTCTGAGTTAGAGAGCAACCAAGGGAGAGGATAAGTCACATACGTATGAAGGGAAATGAGGGGGAGAGTTTCACAATGGAACTGTCTTGAGTCGGCGAAAGTGCTTGGGGTGGCAATAGTGAGTTGCCTTAGTTGAGTCTTCATGACGAAGGAGACTAAGAAGGCTCATTGGGGAATACCATGACTTTCTTCGCACTAACATTAAGAGAAAATTCAAACTTCTTCAGAACTCCTTCGGTCAAGGAGATGCCTGAACGATATAGATAGAGTGAAAGCCTTCAGCACTAGGAGTTCTATTCCTTTATCTTTAGTGATTCGTCGGGATTTCTACTCTCGCACTGTCGAAGACAAGTTTTTTCTTTCACAAGTCTTATTTAATTAATAACAATGTTGCTCACCTACTAAATAATCAAGCGGTCATTTCTGATTGAACGTCCCATCCGTGGGGATCATCCGAAGAACATTCATCAACCGGTCATGGACTGGTTCGATACTTGCAGATCAGAAAGATAAGCCAGGTCAGCTGTGGCTTACAATACCAGGACAAAAATGGGTTTGGAGATCAGAGGGAGGATCCGTAAGCAGAGGAGAAAGTCCTTCTTGTACAGGTAGTAGGGAAAGCAGCCGAGATAAAGAGAGCAGTTCCGTCGGATTGAAACAAAAAAGATTTCGAGCACGTCTGGTCAAAGTCTATTTTGTCTTTACCACGAGACATCTTCCTTGGCTAACAATAATGAAAGTTTTGCACATATCCGCGGGTTCTTCCATTTTCTTTCTCCCTCATTGAGGCACCTTGTGTGGCATCTCTTAGTCTACCACGACTTGCATGCACCTTCTATTGATCCAACCACCTCATGTTGTTACTAATACAGTGCCCAAAGAACTAGACCTTATGCAAAGCACCTTTTTCACATAGAGCTAATGTTCTCTTATGATCTGGAATTGGCTATAGTCTACCAAGAGGGCTTAAAAGGGACTAAGAATTTTTTACCATAGTCCTTCATTAAGATATGATCTTAATTAACGATTTGTGGTCTGATTTATCCTTTTCTTCACCGAAAACCCTATGGAATCAACCAGACGAACAATAGGAAGTGTCTGAGTGTCTTCAATCTCTAAGCTCTACGACTCGTGAAATCCCCTTATCACGAGATCCTATGTAACTACACCCTTTGCAGGTCTATCTCTATGGTCCATGGAAACTGGTCTCCTTTTGTCATCCCAGAAAGAATCTTTGTTGTTCACTCCCAATACGTCTAAGCCAAAACACAGATTTATCCATTAGTAATGGAGATCATATTTTGAGTCGGCTGTGGAAAATTTAGACATTCTTTTTGATGTTGCGATTACATTTTGGTAACAAAAATATAAAGCTAAATATGTTCCCATATTAGCAAATATATATACAGTAAGAGAGGACGAGGAAAGATGCACTTCTGGTGTACCAGTTATCATGCCCATGGTAAAAGCTGGATAGCAAAATACAAAACAGATAATTGTTGAAAACATCTAAGTAGTAAGCCCACCCCAAGATGAGTGTTCTCCTATTCTGACTTCCCAGAGCCTCTGGTAGCACAACCAAGATAGCGACAGGTTCTCTGCCCTCGAGGGATGGAGTGACAAAAGTTTTGAGAATTCAAAAATAGTTCACGACAAGACGAGCTTGTTGGCACACACATGCACTATGTGTTTGTTGGAATTATTGTTTGATATCTGTTCAACTGTAGTTACAATTGGGTTTGAGTTTTGGGATCACAGTGAGATTGAGTGTTTGAGAAAATTAATTGAACAATTAATCAGCGTCAATCTTTATGGTATGTTGAGTTGTGGTGATTAAAAAGGATTCTCACCGTTGATTGCTATATCTAAGTGAGAAGAGGTAATTGAAGTAGAATTAAGTTTTTATTGATAATCAAATGGACCAAAATTAAAAATCATATTTACCACCTCTAGTTAAAGTGTCGCAAGCTCCACGTGTATAATCGTGAGAGAAGATCCACATCAAGTTCCTCCTCCTAAAACAACAATTGATATCAGAGTGTGGTTGTCTTGAGTTGCATTGACACTTTTAGGCATTTCTTTTTTTAGCTTACATACCTAGTGTTTTACTTCCTAGAGATCTATTGATTACTAAGAATTAGTATCTAATAGAGTCCCAAAAGAATGGAGGATCGATTGCTTAACCACCTCTATTTGATTATTCAAATTTTGCATATTGAAAAGCTCGTATGTAAGTATTTCTTAAATTCGTTGTTGATAAAGAATAGTTGATCGTGCAAGAGGGGATGCCCTTCCACCACCACCTTATAAGTCCAAGGTGGT